AATGATACAGGAGTGGTTGGGTTGGGAGGGACCCTATATAGAGGATTGTATGGAACTGTCAGGTTGGAAGGGAGCTTACAGACTACAGAGCCATAGGTTCTGTTGGGCTGCGTCGGAAGGCACCTACAGATTAGAGACACAGAACTGGTCGGGCTGTGCTGGGTTGGAAGGGTCCTTGCAGATCATAGAGCCATGGGATGGTCGGGTTGGGTTGGAAGGGTCCTTGCAGATCACAGGTCTATGGAATGGCTGGGTTGGGTTGGGTTGGAAGGGTTCTTACAGACCACAGAGCCATGGAATGGCTGGGTTGGGTTGGAAGTTACCTTAAAGATTACATCTATCTACCTTACAGATTACAAAGACACGAAATGGGTTGTGTTGGAAGGGTCCTTACAGACCACAGAGGCATGGAATGGTTATAATGTATTGTGTTGGGTTGGGTTGGAAAGGTCCTTACAGACCACAGAGGCATGGAATGGTTGTGCTGTATTGTGTTGGGTTGCATTGGAAGGGTCCTTGCAGACCACAGAGTCATGGGATGGTTGTGCTGTATTGGGTTGCATTGGAAGGGTCCTTGCAGACCACAGAGGCATGGGATGGTTGTGCTGTATTGGGTTGGGTTGCATTGGAAGGGTCCTTGCAGACCACAGAGGCATGGGATGGTTGTGCTGCATTGGGTTGGGTTTGAAGGGTCCTTGCAGACCACAGAGCCATGGGATGGTTGTGCTGCATTGGGTTGGGTTTGAAGGGTCCTTGCAGACCACAGAGCCATGGGATGGTTGTGCTGTATTGTGTTGGGTTGGAAGGGTCCTTGCAGACCACAGAGCCATGGGATGGTTGTGCTGCATTGGGTTGGGTTGTGTTGGAAAGGTCCTTACAGACCACAGAGGCGTGGAATGGTTGTGCTGTATTGGGTTGGGTTGCATTGGAAGGGTCCTTGCAGACCACAGAGCCATGGAATGGTTGTGCTGCATTGGGTTGGGTTGTGTTGGAAAGGTCCTTACAGACCACAGAGCCATGGGATGGTTGTGCGGTATTGGGTTGGGTTGCATTGGAAGGGTCCTTGCAGACCACAGAGCCATGGGATGGTGGTGCTGCATTGTGTTGGGTTGGAAGGGTCCTTGCAGACCACAGAGCCATGGGATGGTTGTGCTGCATTGTGCTGGGTTGGAAGGGTCCTTGCAGACCACAGAGCCATGGGATGGTGGTGCTGCATTGTGTTGTGTTGGAAGGGTCCTTGCAGACCACAGAGGCATGGGATGGTTATGATGTATTCTGTTGGGTTGGAAGGGTCCTTGCAGACCACAGAGCCATGGGATGGTGGTGCTGCATTGTGTTAGGTTGTGTTGGAAGGGTCCTTAAAGACCACAGAGGCATGGGATGGTGGTGCTGCATTGTGTTGTGTTGGAAGGGTCCTTGCAGACCACAGAGGCATGGGATGGTTATGATGTATTCTGTTGGGTTTGAAGGGTCCTTGCAGACCACAGAGCCATGGGATGGTGGTGCTGCATTGTGTTGGGTTGGAAGGGTCCTTGCAGACCACAGAGGCATGGGATGGTGGTGCTGCATTGTGCTGGGTTGGAAGGTTTCTACAAGCTGAGGGGCCGAGGAGGTGCGAGCAGCCCTCACCACTGCCTTCAGTGCACACTTCCACAGTTCAGGAGGAGATCCAAGTGCTTTGACACAACGAAATAACAATCCCTACAGCTGTAATTCGCTCACGCTGTGCGGTCACTTTCTACCACGTAGGGGAGTCAGGTTTCTGTGTTCTGCTCTAACGAAACGACCCACAGACCATCCCCAGTCGGAACTGAGCCATGAGGAAGGATCTCCACCTCCAACTCCTGCCTTCGCACAGCACCACTCGAAATTCAGACCAAAAAAAAACAAAAAAAAACCCCAAAGGAAAGCGAGTTCTGCCTGCTGTCGTGGGCGTCAGGAAAATTCCCCTCTCCCAGCCCCGAGCCCCAAGCCCAGAGGTAAAGAGAGCAGGACAGAGCAGAGAGCAGAGCAGACTGAGCGCCCCACACTGTACCTTGGTCTCTACCTTTATCCCCAGAACCTGCAAAACAAGACACGGGCATTGAGCGGCGGTGCCGTCCGCAGGACCAGCGGTCCCTGCGCAGCCCCCCTCCTCCCCACGCCGACACCCGGAGTGCTCCGTGCCCCCCGATGCCCACCTTGGTGCTGAAGTACTGGGAGATGTTCCTCAGGATGTCGGCCTCGACGCGGGACAGCAGCAGCTCCCTGGGAGCGTGAGCGGCCACGAACCCGTAGCACAGGATCAGGGCGCTCTTGATCTTCTCCACTTCGTGGTCACTGCGGTCCTGGTGGGGGAGATGGGATGGATCAGTGGGGGCTCTGGGGGAATCAGGGCCTCCTCCTTGTGGTTTGAGGTCTTCGTGCCCCGTTCTGTCAGCAGCAGATGTGCCCACAGCCCCATAGGACCACATTCGGACACGTCCTCGCCTGAGATATGGGTTCCTGTTTGCCACCCACAGTTGTCACTGCAGCTCTGGCATAGGATGGTTGGGTTGGAAAGGTCCTAAAGATTATAGAACCACCGAGTGGTTGAGTAAGAAGGGCCCTTAAAGATCACAGAACCACAGCACGGTTGGGTTGGAAAGGACCCCCCTCAGCCAAGTCCTGCCATGGGCTGGCTGCCCCCCCCCACCTCTGCCTGCCCAGGGCCCACCCACAGCCTGGGGCACTTCTCCCTTTTGTCCTAACAGCTGCTCCATTCCCTGAGCATCCCTGTGCCCCCTCCCCTCCCCTCCCCTCCCCTCCCCTCCCCTCCCCTCCCCTCCCCTCCCCTCGCCTCGCCTCGCCTCGCCTCTCCTCTCCTCGCCTCTCCTCTCCTCTCCTCTCCTCTCCTCTCCTCTCCTCTCCTCTCCTCTCCTCTCCTCTCCTCTCCTCTCCTCTCCTCTCCTCTCCTCTCCTCTCCCCTCATCTCCCCCACAGCCCACGTATCCCTGCATCGGGGTCCTCGGACCAAGACACGGTGCTGCCAATCTCCCTCTCTACAGTTTGGGATCCTCCAGCCCCACACCAAACACAGCACATCCAGAGCCGCCCCCCCACAGCCCTTAGGAGGCACTGGGGCCCCTCACCTTGAAAATACTGAACAGCCCCACGGATTTCTTGAAGACATCAGACCGCACAAAATCCTCCAGCTTGGCCAGCGTTTCCTCCAGGTGATTTATTGCACATATCCCGAAGCAGGAAGCGAGTCCCTGGAGGGAGCAGTGAAAACGCATTAGCAGAAAGCAATTAATTCCCAACCCCACTGACACTTGAATAGAGCCCCCCTTGATTGGTTTAATTCCCGGCAGCTGAGCCGTGCCCAGCAGAGCTCAGCGCTGGCAACCACCACCCCCCTTTGGGGACACAAGGTGACACCAGCAAGGCAGCACCATGCAGGAGAGGTCAGGCTGGAACGCCATCAGCTGTTCATGCAGCCCTCAGCAGAGCTGTGCAAAACTGGAGCAGCACGAGACAGTGTTTGCACTGCATGGAGAGGCGGCCGCGGTGCGGCGCTCCTGGTTGAGTGCGGGATCACAGTTGGGACCGTGCAAAGCTGGAGCCCAGCATCACAAATCACACAGAATCACAAGGTTGGAAACGACCTGCAAGATCATCCAGTCCAACCCCCCTCCCATTGCTATCAGTACCAGCAGCACTAAACCACATCTCGCAGCTCCTCATCCAGGCGCCTCTTGAACGCTGCCAGGGATGGCGACTCCATCACCTCCCTGTGCAGCCATTGCAGGGCCTGACCACCCTTTGAGAGAAAAAGTTTCTCCTCATGTCCAACCTAAACCTCCTCTGGTACAACTTCTGCCCGTTTCCTCGGGTCCTATTATTTGCCTGGGAGAAGAGGCCAGACCCTTTTGCACCACAACCTGCCTTCAGGAGGTTGTACAGTGCAATGAGGTCTCCCCTGAGCTCCTCTTCTCACCCTGAACATTCCCAGCTCCTTCAGCCTCTCCTCACAGCCCTGTGTTCCAGACCCCTCACCATTTCGCTGCCCTCCTTTCAACACATTCCAGGCCCTCAATGTCTTTCTTGCAGTGAGGGGCCCAAAACTGGACACAGCCCTCGAGGTGCGGCCTCACCAGTGCTGAGTAGAGGGGGATGCTCACCTCTCTGCTCCTGCTGGCCACACTATTTCTAATGCAGGCCAGGATGCCGTTGGCCCTCTTGGCCACCTGGGCACACTGTGGGCTCCTGTTCAGCCGAGCATCAACCAACACCCCCAGGTCTCTTTCCTCAGCGCTCAAAAATCCCAGCCCAACTCAAAATCCCAGCGCTCCAGCAGTGCCTGCAGGGCAGAGCAGAGGGGAGCAGCACCTCCCTGCCCTGCTGGCCGCTCTCTGGGCAACGCACCACAGGGTCCCGTTGGCTCTCTTGGCCACCAGGGCTCACTGCTGGCTCGTGGTGAACAGTAGGTCAACTGTTGGCCGACTGCTCATCAACCCTTGGGTCAACCATTGGCCAACAACTGGTCACCATTGGTCAACTGCCAGACAAACACTGGTCAACCATTGCACAACCACTGCACGGCTGCTGGTCAACCACTGGATCGACTGTTGGTTAACCATCGGATCAACCATTGGTCAAACACTGGTCGACCGCTGGTCAACTGCTGGTCAATCGTTGGTCACACACGGGTAGAACACTGGACAACCATTGGTCAGTTGCTGGTAAGACACTGGACAAACATTGGTCGAATACTTGTCAACCATTAGTCAACCTTTGGGCAAACATTGGTCAACCACTGGTCATCTATTCGTCAACTGCTGGATCAACTGTGGGGTCAACCATTGGCCATCCATTGGTCAACCATTGGTCAACCATTGCCCATCCATTGGTCAACCATTGGCCATCCATTGGTCAACTATGGTCAACCATTGGCCATCCATTGGTCAACCATTGGTCAACCATTGGTCAACCATTGGCCATCCATTGGTCAACCATTGGCCAACAACTGGTCACCATTGCCCATCCATTGGTCGAATACTTGTCAACCATTAGTCAACCTTTGGGCAAACATTGGTCAACCACTGGTCATCTATTCGTCAACTGTTGGATCAACTGTGGGGTCAACCATTGGCCATCCATTGGTCAACCATGGTCAACCATTGCCCATCCATTGGTCAACCATTGCCCATCCATTGGTCAACCATTGGCCATCCATTGGTCAACCATGGTCAACCATTGGCCAACCATTGGTCAACCATTGGTCAACCATTGGCCAACCATTGGTCAACCATTGGTCAACCATTGGTCAACCATTGGCTATCCATTGGTCAACCATTGGTCAACCATTGGCCAACCATTGGTCAACTATTGGCCCCCCATTGGTCAACCATTGACCATCCACTGGTCAACCATTGGCCATCCATTGGTCAACCATTGGCCCATCCATTGGTCAACCATTGACCATCCACTGGTCAACCACTGGTCAACCACTGGCCATCCATTGGTCAACCATTGGTCAACCACTGGCCAACCATTAGTCAACCATTGGCCATCCATTGGTCAACCATTGCCCATCCATTGGTCAACCATGGTCAACCATTGGCCATCCATTGGTCAACCATTGGCCAACCATTGGTCAACCATTGGCCAACCATTGGTCAACCATTGCCCATCCATTGGTCAACCATTGGTCAACCACTGCTCAACTGTTGGCCAATCAGAACCTGCAAGTCCTTTTTGCCCAATTGTTTTGCCACGCACCCCACTGCATCTGTGAGAAATGTGGCTCTGCAGAGCACAGCGTTGAGGAAGGACAGACAACAGCAGTGCAGCCAAGGGCCCCAGGAAGCCCCGTAGCCCCACGGGGCCACATGAGCCCCAGCCTGGGGATGCAGCAGGACCCCAAATCCCCTTCAGGCAGCAGGTGCAGGCAGAACCCCCCAGCCCCTCTCACCTCCCACTCCGCCTCCTCGTTGTACCGGGCCGTTTCCAGCAGTTCCTGCAGCTGTTTCTGGACCAACTCCTTGCTGACGCACGCCCCGAGCGTCGTCCCGATGCATTTGTACAGAAAGTTCTGGAAGGACAAAGGGGCGTTGGGGATCTGAGCCTCCAGCAAGGCCACGAGGAGCTGGGACACAGTGGGGGACAGCAGGACAGACGTCAGGACTGACTGACTGCCGCCGGATGAGCTCTTGACAAGTCGTGGGGCACAACTGACCGCACGCACTGGAAATGGGAAGAATTCCGTTTTCCAATGCGTCCACCCACCCCAATTAACGCCCTGCTATTTTAATTCTCTCCCGACACCCTTCTCCCAGCAGCAGGAAGGACGATGCTTTGGGAAGCACCATTCGCCAGGCTGGTCCCAGTGAGGACGGACCCAGCGCCGGTCCCGCATCCGTCACCTTCTCGGTGGGGAATCCGTTGTAGCCGTTCAGCTGCCGGCACATCTCTGTCCCGAAGTGGCAAATCCAAGCGTTGTCTGAAACGGCTGCCAGCGTTTCCTGGAGGAGCTGGGTCACAGAACCACAGGACGGTCAAGGTTGGGAGGTTCTAGAGCTCCCCCAACCCCATCTGGCCCCCTCCTCCCACCCCCACCCCCCAGATACCCATCAGTGCTGCTCACACCCCTCTCAGCCTTCTCTCCCCCAGCTGCACAGCCCCAAGGCTCTCAGCCCGTCCCCACCAGGAGGGGCTCCAGGCCCCCCCATCCCCACACCCTCCGCTGGGCTCTCCCAGCACTTCCCAGTCTGCCCTGAACTGGGAGCCCAGCACCGGGCAGAGCAGAGGGGAGCAGCACCTCCCTGCCCCGCTGGCTGCACTCTGGCAATGCACCACAGGGTCCTGTTGGACCTCTTGGCCACCAAGGTTCACTGCTGGCTCCTGGTCAACTGTTGGTGAACCGCTGGTCAACCATTTGACACCTGTTGGTCAACGGCTGACCAACAATTGGTCAACCGCTGGGTCAGATGTTGGTCAACCATTGGTCAACCACTGGTCAACCCTTGGGTCAACCACAGTTCAACTATTGGGTCAACCCATTAGTCAACTGCTGGTCAATCATTAACCAATCACTGCCCACCACACCTAAAGGTCCTTCTCTGAAGAGCTCCCTTCCAGCAGCTCAGCCCCAGCCTGTTCTGGTTGTGCAGTCATTCCCCACCCAAGATGGAGGCCCCTCCACCTGCCCCACGTCGAACTTCATGCTGTTTTCCTCCACCCATCACCCTTGCTGTATGTTCCCTGCTCCCAGCCCAGAAATGCACCTTTATTCCCCCTATTCCCTGGCCACGAGAAATGGCCCCAGCTCAATCCAACACCATCAGCAGAGAACCACAAGCTCCGCTCGGTTTAATTACCTCTCCGTGTCCTGTTTTAAGGCTCTCCAATTAAGCAGCAGACACACTACGGCCCCAGCCCGGTACGTGGATCCCAAGTACCAGAGCCACCCCCATTTTGCCATCCCACCTTCCCACAGCAGCGTGGAAGCACTCACCAGCAGCAGCTCCTCTTCCCACTCCTCCAGGTGCAGCGACTTATCAGTGTTCTCTAGGAAAAATCACCTTTGTGCTCTTCCAGCCCCAAAGGGTCTCGGGCAGCCCCCGACCCCCCCAAAGAAACCCCTTCCTACCCTCGATGCGCTCCACCAGCACAGGAACCCTTTTGCTCCAGAGCTGCTCCAGGGCAGGGTGGACGCTGCAGCACAACGCCTGCAGGAGCCGCAGGGCTGCTGCACCCCGACCGTCCCCGGTGTACGGCCGGGAGGACACCACCTGGAATGGGAGAATGAGATGCCTTGGGTTGGGAGGGTCCTGAAAGGTCACAGAGCCATAGAATGGCCTGGGAGAGCCCTTGAAGGTCATAGAGGTAGAGAAGGGGTTGCGAGGGTCCTTGAAGGATACAGAGGTAGAGAAGGGGTTGCGAGGGTCCTTGAACAACACAGAGGCATGGAAGAGTTGGGTTGGGAGGGTCCTGAAAGTTCACAGAACCGTAGAAGGGGTTGCGAGGGTCCTTGAAGGACACAGAGATAGAGAAGGGGTTGAGAGGGTCCTTGAACGACACAAAGGCATGGAAGAATTGGGTTGGGAGGGTCTTGAAACACAGAGGTAGAGAAGGGGTTGAGAGGGTCCTTGAAGGACACAGAGGTAGAGAAGGGGTTGAGAGGGTCCTTGAAGGACACAGAGGCATGGAAGAGTTGGGTTGGGAGGGTCCTGAAAGTTCACAGAGCCTTAGAAGGGGTTGAGAGGGTCCTTGAAGGACACAGAGGTAGAGAAGGGGTTCAGAGGGTCCTTGAAGGACACAGAGGCATGGAAGAGTTGGGTTGGCAGGGTCTTGAAAGTTCACAGAGCCACAGAATGGGTTGGGAGAGCCCTTGAAGGTCATAGAGGTAGAGAAGGGGTTGAGAGGGTCCTTGAAGGACACAGAGGCATGGAAGAGTTGGGTTGGGAGGGTCCTGAAAGTTCATAGAGCCATAGAAGGGGTTGGGAGAGCCCTTGAAGGTCATAGAGGTAGAGAAGGGGTTGTGAGGGTCCTTGAAGGACACAGAGGCATGGAAGAGTTGGGTTGGGAGGGTCCTGAAAGTTCATAGAGCCATAGAAGGGGTTGGGAAAGCCCTTGAAGGTCATAGAGGTAGAGAAGGGGTTGAGAGGGTCCTTGAAGGACACAGAGGCATGGAAGAGTTGGGTTGGGAGGGTCTTGAAAGTTCACAGAGCCATAGAAGGGGTTGGGAGAGCCCTTGAAGGTTGGTCATAGAGGTAGAGAAGGGGTTGAGAGGGTCCTTGAAGGACAAAGAGCAATAAAAAAGGTGGGGTTAGAAGGGTCACTGAAGATCAAACAAGCATGGAATCAGAGTATGACTTGGGTTGGAAGGGTCCTTAAAGATGACAAAGCCATAGAATGAGTTGGGTTGGAAAGGTCCTTAAAGGTCATAGAATCATGGAGTGACTGGGTTGAAAGGGTCATTAAAGATCAAAAAAGCATGGAGTTAGAGCATGACCTGGGTTGGAAGCATCCTTGCAGATCTGAGACCCACAGGATGGGTCGGGTTGGAAAGAATCCCTCAGCCCGATCCCTGCCGTGGGCTGGCTGCCCCCCAGCTCAGGCTACCCAGGATCCCACCCCACAGCCTCCAGGGCTGGGGCACCCACAGCTCCGGGCAGCAGTGCTGGGGCTGCACCGCCTCTGTATGAAGGATTTCCCCACGTCTGACCCCAAGCTGCCCTCTGTTGGGTCCAACACATTCCCCCACATCCCACTGCCCCCATTTGAGGTGATCCAGCCCCCACACCACGTACCAGCAACCGCGTCGTTAAGGCGTGGGGCGAAGGAAGATTTCCTACAAACAGAAGGAAAATGGCGTAAGACAGCACCCCGACCCTGAGCAGATCGACCTTTCCCGCACACCCGTACCAACCGTTGAGGTCGTACGGGATCAGGGATGCGTTCCCTCCCTCCTCTCGTTTCTTCACGGACAAATGCATGAGGCTCTTGCAGATGGGAGTCAGCGCGTTGGTGAACTGCACGGGGGTGATGAACTCCAGCAGGTACGGCCACAGCACCTGCGGGGGAGTGGGGGATGCAGAGCCCACAGCACGGCGGGACAGGAGGGGGGAGATGCCAGCTCCGGGGGTATTCAAATCCACAGCATCGTGGAATTGTTAAGGTTGGATGAGACTTCTGAGGTCCCCAACCCCAATCCAGCTCGCCACAGTCTTAAATGGACCTACAGAGTCATTAAGGTTGGAAGAGACCTGCAGGATCGTCCAGTCCAACGCCAACCCATCCCACCACGACCCTAAATAGACTCTTAGAGTCACTGAAGAGACCTCCAAGATTCTCCAGCCCACCATGAACCTCAACCCTCACCCAGCCCACCATGGCCCTCAACAGACCCATAGAGTCATCAAACTTGGGAGAAACCTCTCGAATCCCCAAGTCCAATGGTCAACTCACCCCACTGCGACCCTAAACAGAACCAGGGACTCAGTGAGGTTGGAGAAGACCACCAAGATCATCCAGCCCAACCCCAACCCAGCCCACCATGGCGCTAAGTAGAACCATACAGTCACTGATATTGGAAGAGACCTACAAGATTCTCAAGCCCAGCTCATCTCCACCGTGACCCTAAATAGAACCACGGAGTCATTAAGGTCAGAAGAGAACTCCAAGATCATCCAATCCAACCCCAACTCGCTCTACCACGACCGTAAAGGGACCCGTAGAGTCATAAACGTTGGAGAAGACCTCCAAGATCCCCAACCCCACTCCAACCCGTCCTACTCGACGTGTCCCCAAATGCCCCAACTCCCCGCTTTGAACAACCCCAGGGACGATGACCACCCCCCCCCACTTCCCCGTTCCGGTTCCTAACAAAGCATCTCAGTGGGGTTTTCTGCTTTAGTGGGGAAATATGAACGGCAGGTGGACGGTTGGGCTGGATGATCCCGGAGGTCCATTCCAGCCTGGGTGATTGCAGCGCTCAGAGGGGATGGGATGGTGACAACGGCTGCGACAGAGGAGGGGACATCGCCGCAGAGCACAGGGTGACACACTCACGTTGTTCATCCGATCGACGGTGGTGCTGAGGAGGAGGAGCGTGTTGACGCTGATGCTCCGCACGCTGTCGCTCGTGGGCTCGTCCGCGTCTGGGAGCGGCTTCTGGGGCTGCGGGGAGGGAAGGTCATCAGAACCCCAAATTGTGGATCAGAGAATCGTAAAATCGCTTAAGGGTTGGGTTGGAAGGGTCCTGAAAGGTCAGAGAATCATGAAATTGCTGAGTGATTGGGTTGGAAGGGTCCTCTTAGATTAGAGAGGCAAAGAATTGCTGTACAGTTGAGTTGGAAGGGTCCTGAAAGATCAAAGAATCATGAAATTGCTGAACGATTGGGTTGGAAGGGTCCTCTTAGATTAGAGAGGCAAAGAATTGCTGTACAGTTGAGTTGGAAGGGTCCTGAAAGGTCAGAGAATCATGAAATTGCTGAGTGATTGGGTTGGAAGGGTCCTCTTAGATTAGAGAGGCAAAGAATTGCTGTACAGTTGAGTTGGAAGGGTCCTGAAAGGTCAGAGAATCATGAAATTGCTGAGTGATTGGGTTGGAAGGGTCCTGATATATAGAGTGGCAAAGAATTGCTGTACAGTTGAGTTGGAAGGGTCCTGAAAGGTCAGAGAATCATGAAATTGCTGAGTGATTGGGTTGGAAGGGTCCTCTTAGATTAGAGAGGCAAAGAATTGCTGTACAGTTGAGTTGGAAGGGTCCTGAAAGATCAAAGAATCATGAAATTGCTGAGTGATTGGGTTGGAAGGGTCCTCTTAGATTAGAGAGTCAAAGAATTGCTGTACAGTTGAGTTGGAAGGGTCCTGAAAGGTCAGAGAATCATGAAATTGCTGAGTGATTGGGTTGGAAGGGTCCTCTTAGATTAGAGAGTCAAAGAATTGCTGTACAGTTGAGTAGGAAGGGTCCTGAAAGATCAGAGAATCATGAAATTGCTGAGTGATTGGGTTGGAAGGGTCCTCTTAGATTAGAGAGTCAAAGAATTGCTGTACAGTTGAGTTGGAAGGGTCCTGAAAGGTCAGAGAATCATGAAATTGCTGAGTGATTGGGTTGGAAGGGTCCTCTTAGATTAGAGAGGCAAAGAATTGCTGTACAGTTGAGTTGGAAGGGTCCTGAAAGATCAAAGAATCATGAAATTGCTGAGTGATTGGGTTGGAAGGGTCCTCTTAGATTAGAGAGGCAAAGAATTGCTGTACAGTTGAGTTGGAAGGGTCCTGAAAGGTCAGAGAATCATGAAATTGCTGAGTGATTGGGTTGGAAGGGTCCTCTTAGATTAGAGAGGCAAAGAATTGCTGTACAGTTGAGCTGGAAGGGTCCTGAAAGATCAGAGAATCACGAAATTGCTGAGTGATTGGGTTGGAAGGGTCCTCTTAGATTAGAGAGGCAAAGAATTGCTGTACAGTTGAGTTGGAAGGGTCCTGAAAGATCAGAGAATCATGAAATTGCTGAGTGATTGGGTTGGAAGGGTCCTGATATATTAGAGTGGCAAAGAATTGCTGTACAGTTGAGTTGGAAGGGTCCTGAAAGATCAGAGAATCATGAAATTGCTGAACGATTGGGTTGGAAGGGTCCTCTTAGATTAGAGAGTCAAAGAATTGCTGTACAGTTGAGCTGGAAGGGTCCTGAAAGATCAGAGAATCACGAAATTGCTGAGTGATTGGGTTGGAAGGGTCCTCTTAGATTAGAGAGGCAAAGAATTGCTGTACAGTTGAGTTGGAAGGGTCCTGAAAGGTCAGAGAATCATGAAATTGCTGAGTGATTGGGTTGGAAGGGTCCTCTTAGATTAGAGAGGCATAGAATTGCTGTACAGTTGAGTTGGAAGGGTCCTGAAAGATCAAAGAATCATGAAATTGCTGAGTGATTGGGTTGGAAGGGTCCTCTTAGATTAGAGAGTCAAAGAATTGCTGTACAGTTGAGCTGGAAGGGTCCTGAAAGATCAAAGAATCATGAAATTGCTGAACGATTGGGTTGGAAGGGTCCTCTTAGATTAGAGAGTCAAAGAATTGCTGTACAGTTGAGTTGGAAGGGTCCTGAAAGGTCAGAGAATCATGAAATTGCTGAGTGATTGGGTTGGAAGGGTCCTCTTAGATTAGAGAGGCAAAGAATTGCTGTACAGTTGAGTTAAAGGGTCCTGAAAGGTCAGAGCATCATAGAACTGCAGAAAGTTGGGTTGGAAGGGTCCTGAACAGTCAGAGAACTATAGGATGGGTTGGGTTGGAAGGGTCCTTATAGGTCATAGAACTGTAGGATGGGTTGGAAGGGTCCTGAAAGATCACAGAACCATTGGATGGGTTGCAAGAGTCCTTATAGATCAGAAACACAGAACTGTTTTTAATAGTTGGCCTGGACAGGTCCTGAAAGATGACAGAACTATATGATAGATCGTCTTGGGAGGGTCCTGAAAGATCAGAGTAATACAGCACGGGCTGAGTTGAAACGGTCCTGTAAGATCAGAGGATCACAGATCACATTGGATGGGTTGGGTTGTAAGAGTCTTTATAGATCAGAAATACAGAACTGCTTAACAGTTGGCATGGGCAGGTCCTTACAGATCCCAGAACTATAGGATGGGTTGGGTTGGAAGGGTCTTGAAAGATCCCAGAACTGTAAGATCAATTGGGTTGGAAAGGTCCTGAAAGATCACAGAACTATTGGTTGGGTGAGAAGGGTCCTGAGAGGTCAGAAGCATAGAGCTGTTTCACAGTTGGCTTGGATAGGTCCTGAAAGATCTCAGTGTTGGGAGGGTCCTTACAGATCAGAAACATTGAACTGCTGCATGCTTAGGATGGATGGGTCCTGAAAGATCACAGAGCTGTAGGAAGGGTTGGGTAGGAAGGGTCCTGAAAGATCATAGAACTGTAAGATCAATTGGGTTGGAAGGGTCCTGAAAGATCATAGAACTGTAAGATCAATTGGGTTGGAAGGGTCCTGAAAGATCATAGAACTGTAAGATCAATTGGGTTGGAAGGGTCCTGAAAGATGATAGAACTATTGGTTGGGTGAGAAGGGTCCTGAGAGGTCAGAAGCACAGAGCTGTTTCACAGTTGGCTTGGATAGGTCCTGAAAGATCTCAGTGTTGGGAGGGTCCTTACAGATCAGAAACATTGAACTGCTGCATGCTTAGGATGGCTGGGTCCTGAAAGATCACAGAGCTGTAGGATGGGTTGGGTTGGAAGGGTCCTGAAAGATCATAGAACTGTAAGATCAATTGGGTTGGAAGGGTCCTGAAAGATCACAGAACTATCGGTTGGGTGAGAAGGGTCCTGAGAGGTCAGAAGCACAGAGCTGTTTCACAGTTGGCTTGGATAGGTCCTGAAAGATCTCAGTGTTGGGAGGGTCCTTACAGATCAGAAACATTGGACTGCTGCATGCTTAGGATGGCTGGGTCCTGAAAGATCACAGAGCTGTAGGATGGGTTGGGTTGGAAGGGTCCTGAAAGACCCCAGAACTGTAAGATCAATTGGGTTGGAAGGGTCCTGAAAGATCATAGAACTATTGGTTGGGTGAGAAGGGTCCTGAGAGGTCAGAAGCACAGAGCTGTTTCACAGTTGGCTTGGATAGGTCCTGAAAGATCTCAGTGTTGGGAGGGTCCTTACAGATCAGAAACATTGGACTGCTGCATGCTTAGGATGGCTGGGTCCTGAAAGATCATAGAACTGTAAGATCAATTGGGTTGGAAGGGTCCTGAGAGATCATAGAACTATCGGTTGGGTGAGAAGGGTCCTGAGAGGTCAGAAGCACAGAGCTGTTTCACAGTTGGCTTGGATAGGTCCTGAAAGATCTCAGTGTTGGGAGGGTCCTTACAGATCAGAAACATTGGACTGCTGCATGCTTAGGATGGCTGGGTCCTGAAAGATCACAGAGCTGTAGGATGGGTTGGGTTGGAAGGGTCCTGAAAGATCATAGAACTGTAAGATCAATTGGGTTGGAAGGGTCCTGAGAGATCATAGAACTATCGGTTGGGTGAGAAGGGTCCTGAGAGGTCAGAAGCACAGAGCTGTTTCACAGTTGGCTTGGATAGGTCCTGAAAGATCTCAGTGTTGGGAGGGTCCTTACAGATCAGAAACATTGAACTGCTGCATGCTTAGGATGGCTGGGTCCTGAAAGATCACAGAGCTGTAGGATGGGTTGGGTTGGAAGGGTGCTGAAAGATCCCAGAACTGTAAGATCAATTGGGTTGGAAGGGTCCTGAAAGATGATAGAACTACTGGTTGGGTGAGAAGGGTCCTGAGAGGTCAGAAGCACAGAGCTGTTTCACAGTTGGCTTGGATAGGTCCTGAAAGATCTCAGAACTACAGGACGGGTTGTGTTGGGAGGGTCCTTACAGATCAGAAACATTGAACTGCTGCATGCTTAGGATGGCTGGGTCCTGAAAGATCACAGAGCTGTAGGATGGGTTGGGTTGGAAGGGTCCTGAAAGATCATAGAACTGTAAGATCAATTGGGTTGGAAGGGTCCTGGAAGATCATAGAACTATTGGCTGGGTGAGAAGGGTCCTGAGAGGTCAGAAGCACAGAGCTGTTTCACAGTTGGCTTGGATAGGTCCTGAAAGATCTCAGAACTACAGGATGGGTTGTGTTGGGAGGGTCCTTACAGATCAGAAACATTGAACTGCTGCATGCTTAGGATGGCTGGGTCCTGAAAGATCACAGAGCTGTAGGATGGGTGCGGATGGATGAGGGGCCACGAGATCCTTACCGCATCCGAGGGCAGGGCACACTGCCGCACCAGGAACTCCAGCATGGCCTCCCCACCGGGCTGCTCCAGGTAGCCGTGGTGAGCCATGGCACTGATCACCTGCACCACGGCACGCCTCACCTGCGACCACAACAAGTCACCCAGGGTTGGAATCGCGATCGAGGTCACCACGATCGCCGACTCCGACCAGCAGCCCATCCCCACCGTGCCCACACAGGGGGACCAAAGTGTCATTACTGCTGGAGAAGACCTCCGAGCCTGCCCAGTCCAACCAGCAGGCGGTGCTGGGACCGGGTGAGGAGCTCCGGGGATGAGGGAGGGGATCTGGGAACCCCCCCCCCCCCAGATTTTGGGAAACCACCTCTGCTCACCTTGTTGTTGCTGTCTTGAAGGGGAAGTTTCATGGAAGAAAGGATGAAGGGCTTTTTAATCTCCATCTGAGAGGCTGCAAAAAGGAGGACGGACGCTGCGAGGTCGGTGATGCTGAGGACACAGGTCTGCTCCCTCCTTCTTCCTCTTCCTCCTCCTCCTCCACCCAACCCCATCACCGTTTGGCACTGATGGATGCTCACAGCTCCCACTGTACTCACGGGCACTGTTGATGATCTGTCTCATGATGAGCAACGTCCCCACGCGCGTCCTCTCGCTGCTGCTCTCCAATTTCGGGAGGAGGAAGGTCAGCACTCGGTCAGGGAAGGAGCAGGCTGCAGGGATGGCAAAGGGAGCAATGGGGAATGCGATGGACTCTACCCATGGTACCGTGCCCCATGGGGGTCAGGATGCCATGGTCGACTGGGGTTGGAGCCACTCCTTGGCTCTGTGACCTGTAAGGACCTTTCCAAAACAACCGCTCCATGGCTCCATGATCTTCGAAGACCCTTCCCACCCAACTACTTCACAGCTCTGTGATCTGTAAAGCCCCTTCCAGCCAAACTATTCCATAGCTCTATAATCTGTAAGGACCCTACCAATACAAACACTCCACAGCTCTATGATCTTCAAGGACCCTTCCCACCCAACGATTCCAGGGCTCTATTATCTGTAAGGACCACTCCAACCCAACCACGCTAAGACTCCATGACCAATAAGGTCTCTTCCAACTCAACTCATTCTGTGCTTCTATGACCTTTAACAACCCTTCCAACCCAACCATCCCACGGCTGTATGATCTTTAAGGACCTTTCCAACCCAACTATTCCACAGTTCTTGGATCTTTAAGGGCTCTTCCAACCCAACTCATTCCAAGTTTCTAGGATTTGGAGGAAAGATTTGACCTCAGACTCCTGCCTAGGTTCCTGCAAGGGGTTGGTGTGCCCCAAAGGGAGCTGAGGTGGCCCCAAGCAGTGCCCCAAAGAGCTGCAGCCAGCACGGACCTCAGAACCACTTGGAGAAGACCTCCAAGATCCCTCAGTGCAGCCCCATCCCATCACGACCCTAAATAGAACTATAGAGTCAGTAAAACTGAAGGAGTCCTCCAAGGTCATCGAATCTAAGCCGATCCCAACCCTCACCGTGACCCTAAGTAACCATAGAGTCATTAAGACTGGAGAAGACCTCCAAGATCCCCCAGTCTAACTCCAATCCATCACCACCACAACCTTTAATGGAGCCACAGCGTCACTAAGGTTGGAGAAGACCTCCAAGGTCATCCAGTCCACCCAAAATCCACCTCCACCATGCCCCTATGTAGATTCTCTTAGGTTGGAGAAGACCTCCAAGATCTCCAAGCCCAACCCCAACTCATCCCCATGACAACCCTAAATAGAACCACAGAGTCACTGAGGTTGGAAGAGACCTCCAAGAACCCCCAGATCAACTCCAACCCAACCTACCGTGACCCTAAGCAGACCCATAGAAACATTAAGGTCGGAGGAGACCTCCAAGATCCACAGTCCAACCCCAAACCACTCCACCATGACTCTAAATAGAACCACAAACTCATCAAGAATGAAGAAGACCTCTGAGATCATCCACTCCAACCCAGCCCACCCCCCAATGACCCTAAATAGAACCACACACCAATTCAGAGTGCAAGAGACCTCCAAGACCCCCAGCCTATCCTACTGACCCTGTCCCCAAGTGCCGCATCTCTCTGGTTCCTGAACAGCTCTAGGGATGCTGACTCCCGCCACCACCCTGGTCAGCCAGCTCCAACACTTCAACCATCGCCCTCAGACGACGCGTTCCAAGGAGGGGGTCCCAACCACCCCCCACCATGGGTCACAACCACCCCTTACCGAGCACAGTGAAGCACCGAAGGACCTCCGTGTGGTTTTTGACAGTCAGGGGCACAGCCGGGTCGGCGGGAGTGCAGATCTGGAGGATTAATGGTGGGCTTGGGGGGGGGGTGACAGCATCCCCTGCATGGGCACCGAGCGGAGCTCCCTACCCGCCAAGCACGAGGTGGGAGCAGGGCAGCACTGCCCAGGGGGGTTGGGGGTCCATCAGGGGCCCAATGCCTTCTGCTGCGCCCCCTGCTCCCCCTTCAGAATGAGTTGACCCCCCGGTGCTACCCAAACAAGTGGTTAAAAGGTCCTTATGGGGTCCTATGGGGTCTTTACAGAGTCCTTATGGGGTTCTTACGGGGTCAGGAGGGGTTTATAGGGTCCTTATGGGGTAAGCGGGCTTTCATAGGGTCCTTTTTGGGTTCTTGTGAGGTCCTTAAGAGGTGAGGGGGTTTTATAGGGTACTTACAGGGTCCTTATGGGGCTCTTATGGGGTCAGGGAACTTTTATAGCATCCTTATGGAGTTCTTATGGAGTCAGGGGGGTTACAGGGTCCTTATGGGGTCAGCATTTGATTTGGGGGTGTAGGACATGACAGCAGGAGCCCCCAGCAGAGCCCGCTGCCCCACATCCCCCATTGCTGCCCCCCACCCCTACCTGGGGGTGCAGGGTGCCCAGCAGAGCATCCAGCTGCATATCCAGGCTGCGGCTGCCGATGTCCACAGAAGCTTCCAGGATCTGACAGAGGCTCTGGAATCAGAGTGGAGGGGGGGGAAGAACTGAGAACTCACACTTGGAAGGAGGGTCCCTCCCTCAGCGCTGCAGGAAGGGGACCAGAGCCCAGGGGGGGCGGAAGGGGGGCAGAAGGGGGACTGGCTGAAGCCCACCCCACAGCTCCCACCAGTGGGGGCAGCCACACGGCGTGGCAGATGGGACCGTGCACGGATTGAGCCCGGTGTTGGGATGGGATGATCTCAGGGCAACGAGCTCTCAGGGCATTTCCCATCGCTTCCCCCGCGGCCACGCGCAGCTCCATGCTCACCTTGGAGATGTAGAAGGACTCCGTGTGCTTCTTGTAGAGGGACAGGACGGCCGGGATCAGCTTTGGGAGCTGCTCCTCCAGCTTCTCGCCGGGCATCAGGTAGCTCATGGCTCCCAGAGCCTCCACCACCGCCAGCCGGAGCTGCGGGGGATAACGAGCGTTAATGAGGGCAGGGTGGATCCTGCAAGGCGCAGCACAAGCACAGAATCAGAGACTCCGTAACTTTGGGCCAAAAAAGATCAGCAGATCCAACCCCAGCACGACGTGGCCCCAAAGTCCAACCCCGACCCACCCTGTTGTGAGTCCTGATTAGAACCATCGAGTCATTCAGGTTGGAAGAGACCCAAAGGATCCACCAGTCCAACCCCGACCTTCCCCATCGTGAGCCCAAATAGAATCACGGAGTCGTTGAGGTTGAAAGACACCTCCAGGGTCACCCAGTCCAACCCCAAACCACCCCCATCGTGACCCTAAACAGACCAACAGAATCAGTAAGGTTGGAAAAGACCTCCAGGATCACCCGGTCCAACCCCAACCCACCCCAATGCCACCCTAAATACAACCACAGAATCGTTAAGGCTGAAGAGAACTCCAGGACCCACAGCTCCAACCCCAACCCGTCCCACCAGGACCCTAAATACAACCACAGAGTCATTAAGGTTGGAAGAGACTGCCAGGATCACCAAGTCCAGTCCCAACCCATCCCCATCGTGACCCTAAACAGAGCCATAGAGTCACTCAGGTTGGAAAAGAGCTTCTACATCCCCAAGTCCAACCCCAACCCATCCCACCGTGACCCTAAATACAACCACAGCATCATTCAAGTTGGAGGAGACTGCCAGGATCACCAAGTCCAGTCCCAACCCATCCCCATCGTGACCCTAAACAGAGCCATAGAGTCACTCAGGTTGGAAAAGAGCTTCTAGATCTCCAAGTCCAACCCCAACCTGTCCCACTGTGATCCTAAATACAACCACAGAGTCATTAAGGTTGGAAGAGACTGCCAGGATCACCAAGTCCAGTCCCAACCCATCCCCATCGTGACCCTAAACAGAGCCATAGAGTCACTCAGGTTGGAAAAGAGCTCCTAGATCCCCAAGTCCAACCCCAACCCGTCCCACTGTGACCCTAAATACAACCACAGCATCATTCAAGTTGGAAGAGATCTTCAAGATCATCCACTCCAACCCCAATCCACCCACACCATGACCCTAAACAGAAGCACAGAGCCATCAATGTGGGAAAAGAGCTTCTAGATCCCCAAGTCCAACCCCAACCCATCCCACCACGACCCTGAACAGGACCACAGAGTCATTAAGGTTGGAAGAGACTGCCAGGATCACCAAGTCCAGTCCCAACCCATCCCCATCGTGACCCTAAACAGAGCCATGGAGTCACTCAGGTTGGAAAAGAGCTTCTAGATCCCCAAGTCCAACCCCAAACCATCCCACCGTGACCCTAAATACAACCACAGCATCATTCAAGTTGGAGAAGATCTCCAAGATCATCCACTCCAACCCCAATCCACCCACACCACGACCCTAAACAGAAGCACAGAGCATCAACGTGGGAAAAGAGCTTCTAGATCCCCAAGTCCAACCCCAACCCGTCCCACCGTGACCCTAAATATAACCACAGCATCATTCAAGTTGGAAGAGATCTCCAATATCATCCACTCCAACCCCAATCCACCCACACCACGACCCTAAACAGAAGCACAGAGCCATCAACGTGGGAAAAGAGCTTCTAGATCCCCAAGTCCAACCCCAACCCATCCCACCGTGACCCTAAATACAACCACAGAGTCATTAAGGTTGGAAGAGACTGCCAGGATCACCAAGTCCAGTCCCAACCCATCCCCATTGTGACCCTAAACAGAGCCATAGAGTCACTCAGCTTGGAAAAGAGCTTCTAGATCCCCAAGTCCAACCCCAACCCATCCCACTGTGACCCTAAATACAACCACAGCATCATTCAAGTTGGAGAAGATCTCCAAGATCATCCACTCCAACCCCAATCCACCCACACCACGACCCTAAACAGAAGCACAGAGCCATCAACGTGGGAAAAGAGCTTCTAGAGCCCCAAGTCCAACCCCAATCCATCCCACCATGACCCTAAATAGAACCACAGAGTCATTAAGGTTGGAAGAGACTGCCAGGATCACCAAGTCCAGTCCCAACCCATCCCCATTGTGACCCTAAACAGAGCCATAGAGTCACTCAGGTTGGAAAAGAGCTTCTAGATCCCCAAGTCCAACCCCAACCCATCCCACCGTGACCCTAAATACAACCACAGCATCATTCAAGTTGGAGAAGATCTCCAAGATCATCCACTCCAAACCCAATCCACCCACATCATGACCCTAAACAGAAGCACAGAGCATCAACGTGGGAAAAGAGCTTCTAGATCTCCAAGTCCAACCCCAACCCGTCCCACTGTGACCCTAAATACAACCACAGCATCATTCAAGTTGGAAGAGACTGCCAGGATCACCAAGTCCAGTCCCAACCCATCCCCATCGTGACCCTAAACAGAGCCATAGAGTCACTCAGGTTGGAAAAAAGCTTCTAGATCCCCAAGTCCAACCCCAACCCGTCCCACTGTGACCCTAAACAGACCCGCAGAGTCATTCCGGTTGGAAGAGATCTCCAAGAGCCCCAACTCAATACCAACCCATCCCTACTGACCCACATTTCTGCAACACCTCCGGGGACGGTGATCCCACCACCCCGTGCGCAGCCCATGCCAGCACCCAACTGCTGTTCTGGGGGCGAAATGGTCCCTAATTTCTCTCCTTGGCCCACACCTTGGGCTCCCGGTGCTGCAGCCAGCTGTTGAAGAGCACCTCGTAGGCGCTGAAGATCTCGTTGCAGAAGGTGTCCTTCCTGACCGTGGGGTCGGGGGCCTGGTCCAGGTTGGCCACGTATTCCTGGATGCTCTCGCTGAAGTGCTGCAGGGCTGCAAAGCAGAGCGTGGGCTCAGGTCAGTCCTCGGGTCCCTCGAGGGGCAGTGGGTGTTGGGTGGGTTGGGTGCTTAAAGGTCACAGAACTGGGGAATGGTTGGGTTGGAAGGGTCCTGAAAGATCACAGAACTATCGGTTGGGTGAGAAGGGTCCTGAGAGGTCAGAAGCACAGAGCTGTTTCACAGTTGGCTTGGATAGGTCCTGAAAGATCTCAGTGTTGGGAGGGTCCTTACAGATCAGAAACATTGGACTGCTGCATGCTTAGGATGGCTGGGTCCTGAAAGATCACAGAGCTGTAGGAAGGGTTGGGTTGGAAGGGTCCTGAAAGATGATAGAACTATTGGTTGGGTGAGAAGGGTCCTGAGAGGTCAGAAGCACAGAGCTGTTTCACAGTTGGCTTGGATAGGTCCTGAAAGATCTCAGTGTTGGGAGGGTCCTTACAGATCAGAAACATTGAACTGCTGCATGCTTAGGATGGATGGGTCCTGAAAGATCACAGAGCTGTAGGATGGGTTGGGTTGGAAGGGTGCTGAAAGATCATAGAACTGTAAGATCAATTGGGTTGGAAAGGTCCTGAAAGATCATAGAACTATTGGTTGGGTGAGAAGGGCCCTGAGAGGTCAGAAGCACAGAGCTGTTTCACAGTTGGCTTGGATAGGTCCTGAAAGATCTCAGTGTTGGGAGGGTCCTTACAGATCAGAAACATTGGACTGCTGCATGCTTAGGTTGGCTGGGTCCTGAAAGATCACAGAGCTGTAGGAAGGGTTGGGTTGGAAGGGTCCTGAAAGATCATAGAACTGTAAGATCAATTGGGTTGGAAGGGTCCTGAAAGATCATAGAACTGTAAGATCAATTGGGTTGGAAGGGTCCTGAAAGATCATAGAACTATCGGTTAGGTGAGAAGGGCCCTGAGAGGTCAGAAGCACAGAGCTGTTTCACAGTTGGCTTGGATAGGTCCTGAAAGATCTCAGTGTTGGGAGGGTCCTTACAGATCAGAAACATTGGACTGCTGCATGCTTAGGATGGCTGGGTCCTGAAAGATCACAGAGCTGTAGGATGGGTTGGGTTGGAAGGGTGCTGAAAGATCATAGAACTGTAAGATCAATTGGGTTGGAAAGGTCCTGAAAGATCATAGAACTATTGGTTGGGTGAGAAGGGCCCTGAGAGGTCAGAAGCACAGAGCTGTTTCACAGTTGGCTTGGATAGGTCCTGAAAGATCTCAGTGTTGGGAGGGTCCTTACAGATCAGAAACATTGGACTGCTGCATGCTTAGGTTGGCTGGGTCCTGAAAGATCACAGAGCTGTAGGAAGGGTTGGGTTGGAAGGGTCCTGAAAGATCATAGAACTGTAAGATCAATTGGGTTGGAAGGGTCCTGAAAGATCATAGAACTGTAAGATCAATTGGGTTGGAAGGGTCCTGAAAGATCATAGAACTGTAAGATCAATTGGGTTGGAAAGGTCCTGAAAGATGATAGAACTATTGGTTGGGTGAGAAGGGTCCTGAGAGGTCAGAAGCACAGAGCTGTTTCACAGTTGGCTTGGATAGGTCCTGAAAGATCTCAGAATTACAGGACGGGTTGTGTTGGGAGGGTCCTGAAAGGTTACAGAGCTGTGGAATGGTTGGGTTGGAGGGGTCCTTAAAAATCACAGAACCACAGAAGGGACGGATTGGAAGGATCCTTAAAGATCACAGAACCATGGGATGGTTGGGTTGGAAGGGTCCTGAGAGATCACAGAACCATGGGATGGGTGGGTTGGAAGGGTCCTGAAAGATCACAGAACCATGGGACGGGTGGGTTGGAAAGTTTCCGAAAGGTCATGAAAGCACTGAATGGTCTGGGAGGGTCCTTGAAGGTCATACAGCCGTGGGATAACAGAACAGGTTGGATTGGAAAGGTCCTTAAAGATCAAAGAACTGCAAGAGTGGGTTGGGGTGGATATTTTGCTCCCTTACTGCCAAGTGCACAGCTGGGCTTCTCCAGCTGCGGTTTCCTCTGCCCCACAACAGCTCCCTGGGTGCTGCCCCACCGGGTTCTGATGCCCCACAGCACTCAGGCTCCTCCTCTTTGCTGGCTGCCTCCCAGCCACCAGAGTGGGGCTACAGCAGAGGATGGGGTGCTGGTATAGGGGTGGAGGTACAGGGGGAACGGCCTGAACCCAAAAGTGGGGAGATTTGGGGTCAGACGTGGGGAAATCCTTCACCCAGAGGCGGTGCAGCCCCAGCACTGCTGCCCCGAGCTGTGGGTGCCCCAGGCTGGAGGTGCCCCAGGCTGGGGGTGGGACCTTGGGCAGCCTGAGCTGGGGGGCAGCCAGCCCACGGCAGGGATGGGGCTGGGGAGTCCTTCCAACCCAACTGTGTTGTGGTTGTGTGATCTGTAAGGACCCTTCCAACCCAACCACTCTGTGGTTGTGTGATCTGTAAGGACCCTTCCAACCCAACCATTCTGTGGTTGTGTGATCTGTAAGGACCCTTCCAACCCAACCGTTCTGTGGTTGTGTGATCTGTAAGGACCCTTCCAACACAACCATTCTGTGGTTGTGTGATCTGTAAGGACCCTTCCAACACAACCGTTCTGTGCTTGTGTGATCTGTAAGGACCCTTCCAACCCAACCATTCTTTGGTTGTGTGATCTGTAAGGACCCTTCCAACCCAACCATTCTGTGGTTGTGTGATCTGTAAGGACCCTTCCAACCCAACCGTGCTGTGGTTGTGTGATCTGTAAGGACCCTTCCGACCCAACCGTGCTGTGGTTGTGTGATCTGTAAGGACCCTTCCAACCCAACCGTGCTGTGGTTGTGTGATCTGTAAGGACCCTTCCAACCCAACCCATTCTAACACTGCACGACTCCATGATCTTCAAGGGCCCCCCCCCCCCCCATCCCAACCATTCCATGGCTCTATGACCTTTAAGGACCTTTCCAACCCAACCATCTCACAGCTCCAACGTTTTCGAACACTCTTCCAATGCAAACTCATTCTATGGCTCTGTAATCTTCGAGGACCCTTCCAACTCAATCACGCCACGGCTCCGTGATCTTTAAGGTCTCTTCCAAAGCAAGCGTTCTGTTCTCTGTGATCTTTAAGGACCCTTCCAACCCACCCACCCCACGGCTCTACGATGCACAGGGGCACCCACAGTTCTACCAGGCGCTCGGAGCCCCATCCCATGACCTGGAACATCTGCAGGGACGGAGCACCAGCACAACCGCCATCAGTCTGCATCAGTGCCTCGCTGCCCAGAAACCTTCTTACCTTTTATGCAATCTCAGCCTCGCCTCTTTTAGAGCGAAACTCCTTGTCCTTGTCTGTGATCTGATGGTTCCACCCCTCCTGGAGCCAACCCTGCCCCTGGGCACCCAAGAGCACCGCTCTCTACCACTTCCCTATCCAAGAAGTGCCCCAAATCCCCCCGAAATCCCCCCTCAAAAAAAAGTCCCCACCGTATTGAGAGAAGCAGAGCAGCCTTACCGTAGCAGAAGACAGACTTCATGTGGTCCTGCTTGGCCATCCCCAGCATGGGCAGCATGGTCCCCAGGATGGAGTTGAGGAAAGGCACCATCCCGAACACTGCGGGAGGAAACGCGGAGCTGTGGGTGCCCCACACCTGGAGGTGCCCGAGGCCATGGATGGGGGCCCTGGGCAGCCTGAGATGGTGGGGGGCAGCCAGCCCACGGCAGGGCTGGGTCTGGGGGGTCCCTTTCAACCCATCCTGTGGTTGTACGATCTTTAAGGACCTTTCCGACCCACCCATGCCATGATCCTATGATCTTTAAGGACCCCAGTATACGGTGAGCACCCAACGTTCACCCAGTGCCAAGCTAACACCGATCCAAAAGCAACCCAGGACCAACCCAGGTCCAACACTGACCCAACACCAACCCAGGGCCAACACCAAAACCAACGCCAACCCTGTGCCAACCTAACACCAAATCAATGCCAATCCAACGCCAAGCCAACATCAACTCAATGCTGACCCAAGGCCAACAGCACCGACGAAACAACATCAACCAACCCAACATCAACTCAGTGTCAACCGAGTGCTGAAGCAACGCAGACCCAACGCCAATCCCAACGCCAACTCAGTGCCAACTCAGCACCAACCAAACACCGACCCGACGCTGATCCAGAGCCAAACTAATGCCAATCCAAAACCAATCCACTGCCAACCCAATGCCAATTCAGCATCAACAGAACTCCAACACAATGTCAACCCAAAGCCAACTAAATGCCGAGCCAGTGCCAACCCAGCACCGAACCAATGCCAAGCCAATGCCAATCAAGCATCAACCCAGTGCTGACCCAATATAACCCAATGCTGATCCAATATCAACCCAACACCAACCCTACGCCAACCCAACACCAACCCAGTGCCAACCTGATGCTGACCCGATGCCAACTCAGTGCCAACTCAACACCAACCCAGCACCAAACACCAACCCAGCACTGACTCAGTGCCAAACCAATGCCAATCCAATACCAATCTAGTACCAACTCAACGTCAACTCAATGCTGAACCAACACCAATCCGGTGCCAGCCAAACTCCAACCTAAAATCAACTCAACACCAACTGAACATGAAGCCAATGCTGATCCAGTGCCAACCCAGCACCAAACCAGTGCCAACCCAGCCCTGATCCAATGCCTGTCCAACGCCAACCCAACAGTGACCCAACACTGACACAATGCCAACCCAGCATCAAACCAATGCCATCCCAACGCCAATCCAACACCAATCCAATGCCAACCTAATGCTGACCTAATATACCTCAACACCAACCCGATGCCAAACCAACACCAACCTAGTGCCAAATCAATGCCAACCCAATGCCAATTCAATAGCAACCCAACACCAAACCAATGCCAAACCAGCACCAACCCAATGCCAACCCAGTGCCAACCCAACACTAACCTGGTACCAACCTAATGCTGACTAATATACCTCAACCAACCCAATGCCAAAGCAACACCAACTCAGTGCCAAATAAAGGCCAACCCAATGCCAATTCAATATCAAACCAACACCAAACCAATGTCAAACCAACACCAACCCAACGCCAACCCAACACCAACCAACAACAACCTAATGCTGACCTAATATACCTCAACACCAACCCGATGCCAAATCAAAGCCAACCCAATGCCAATTCAATAACAACCCAACACCAACCCAATGCCAACCAACACCAAGCCAGTGTCAAACCAACACCAACCCAGTGTCAAACCAACACCAACCCAACACCAACCCAATGCCAACCCAATGCCAACCCAATACCAACCCAATGTCAAACCAACACCAACCCAGTGCCAAATCAACGCCAACCCAACACCAAACCAATGTCCAACCAACACCAAACCAATGTCCAACCAACACCAAACCAATGTCAAACCAACACCAACCCAATGTCAAACCACCACCTCCAACCCAATGCCAACCTAACACCAACCCAACGTCAAACCAACACCAACCCAATGCCAACCCAACACCAACCCAACGTCAAACCAACACCAACCCAATGCCAACCCAACACCAACCCAGTGTCAAACCAACACCAACCCAGTGCAAATCAATGCCAACCCAACACCAAACCAATGCCAACCCAACACCAAACCAATGTCCAACCAACACCAAACCAATGTCCAACCAACACCAAACCAATGTCAAACCAACACCACCAACCAATGCCAACCCAACACCAAACCAATGTCAAACCAACACCAACCCAACACCAACCCAATGCCAAGCCAACACCAACCCAATGTCAAACCAACACCACCAACCTAATGCCAACCCAACACCAAACCAATGTCCAACCAACACCAACCCAACACCAACCCAATGCCAACCCAACACCAACCCAGTGTCAAACCAACACCAACCCAGTGCCAAATCAACGCCAACCCAACACCAAACCAATGTCCAACCAACACCAAACCAATGTCCAACCAACACCAAACCAATGTCAAACCACCACCTCCAACCCAATGCCAACCCAACACCAACCCAATGTCAAACCAACACCAACCCAACACCAACCCAATGTCAAACCAACACCAACCCAATGTCAAACCAACACCAACCCAACACCAACCCAATGCCAACCCAACACCAACCCAATGTCAAATCAACACCAACCCAACACCAACCCAATGCCAACCCAACACCAACCCAATGTCAAACCAACACCAACCCAACACCAACCCAATGCCAACCCAACACCAACCCAATGTCAAACCAACACCAACCCAATGCCAACCCAACACCAACCCAACGTCAAACCAACACCAACCCAGTGCCAAATCAACGCCAACCCAACACCAACCCAATGTCCAACCAACACCAACCCAACGCCACCCAAACGCCGACCCAGAGCCAACCCAATGCTGACCAAAGCCACACACACCAGACGCAGGAGGGCGAGCTCACCGTTGGACACCGCCAGGTTGGCGAAGGTCTGCATGACGAAGTAATGCGGCAGGATGCCCGGCTGGAACTTGGTCAGCACCTCCTCCATCACTTTGTTGATGAAACGCTGCCCGACCGCCACCAGCACGCTGCTGGCTGCCTGCTGCCATTCCCAGACCACCTCCTGTGTGCCAGGAAGGGACGGCTGTCGCTTTGCTGAGCGCTGCCCGGCGTTGGAGGGAGCGACAACCGCAGCCCCTCAGCTCCCACCTTCGATTTGGTCATCTCGTTGGATGCCAGGAAGATGACCACCTTCGCCGTGCTTTTGTCCAAGCTGGAGATGTTGTTCTTCACCACCGTTTCCATCGCCTTCAGGATGATGACGCGGTGCGGATAGGCCAGCTGTGAGGGAGGGACAGAGGGGGCACGTGGCAGCGTGGGGCGCGTGGGACACGGCACGCATCCCCTACAGAATCACAGCATGGCCCGGGTTGGAAGGGACCTCAAGGATCACGGAGCTCCAACCCCCCACTGCATGCAAAGCCACCAACCTCCACATTTCACAGCAGCCCAGGCTGCCCAGGGCCCCATCCAACCTGGCCTCGAACACCTCCAGGGATGGACGGGGCATCACAGCCTCTCTGGGCAGCTGTTGCAGCCCCTCACCGCTCTCACAGCACACAACTTCCCCTGACATCCAACCTCAATCTGCCCTCCCTCAGCTTCAAACCATCCCCCTCGTCCTGCTGCCATCTCCCCTTGCACAGAGCTGACTCCCCTCCTGTCTGCAGGCTCCCTTGAGGCACTGCAGGCTGCACTGAGGTCACCCCGCAGCTTCTCTCCTCCATGCTGAACGAGCCCAGCTCCCTCAGCCTGTCTTTGCAGTGGAGGTGCTGCAGCCCCCTGCTCATCTCTGTGGCTCCTCTGCACCCTCTCCAACAGCTCCCTGTCCTTCTTGTGCTGGGGGCTCCAGCCCTGGACGCAGTGCTGCAGACGGGGCCTCACAAGAGCAGAGCAGAGGGGGACGATCACCTCCCTGTCCCTGCTGGCCGCCCCTCTGCTGATGGAGCCCAGGATCCCATTTGCTTTCCAGCTGCAATGCACACCGCTGCCTCATGTTCAGTTTTTCACCCCCCCAGGACCCCAGGGTCCTTTTTGCAGGGCTGCTCTCTGTACAAATGCCTGCGATTCCTCCGGCCCAAGTGCCAGCCTTGCACTTTGCTGCGTTGAACCTCATCAGGTTCACCCAGGGCCCATCTTTCAAGCCCGCTGAGGTCCCTCTGAATGGCGTTCCTTCCTTCCACAACCCAGGGGGACCAGCAGGACGGACCGGCTCGCATTTCCCAGATGTTTCCCACCTACAAACCCCCTCCCCAGCCCTCGCTCCGGTTCCCTTCCCCCCGCAGTGCCCACCTTGTCGTGCTGCCGCAGATACTCGTCGCAGCAGTGCAGGATCTCCTCGGGCTCGGCCTCCCCCAGGTAGCACAGAGCGTTGTAGATCTGCTCCTGCACCAGCGGCTCCTTGTCCGTCGTGGCGTCCATCAGGGTGGTGGCGAGGCCTGCGCGAGGCAGAGATGCTTCAGCGGATCTCCCAGCTCCCATCCCAACGGCAAAACCTCTCTGCGGGCCTCGGCGCCAAAGAAACCCAACTGGAAGGGATCCACACGTGACTTTCCCCTGCAGCCACTGGGGGTTTCCAAACCTGGAGACGCTGAACAAGACGCAGCTCTCCAGCTGTGCCCTGGAGGGCAGAGCAGAGGGGAGCAGCACCTCCCTGCCCTGCTGCTGCACTCTGGCAATGCACCACAGGGTCCCGTCGGCCCTCTTGGCAACCAAGGTTCACTGCTGGCTCCTGGTCAACCGTTGGCCAACTGTTGGTCATCTGTAGGCCCTATTGGCCACCAGGGCTCACCGCTGGCTGTCTTGGCCACCAGAACGTACTGCTGACTCGTGGTCAATCATTGGGTCTTCTCGGCCACCAGGACACACTGCTGGCTTGTGGCCAACGGCTGGTGACTCTTAAGCCACCAGGATCAACAGCTCCTGGTCTGCAGAGCTTCTTTCCAGTCACGGTCATTCATTGGTCAACTGTTGGTCAACCACCAGCTCTCTTGCTTATCAGGGCTCACCGTTGGCTCGTGGTCAACCAATGGCCAACTGGTGGTCAACCACTGGCTGTCTGAGCCACCAGGGCTCATGGTCAATCCCTGCTCTACTGCTGGTCATCTGTTGGCCCTATTGGCCACCAGGGCTCATGGTCAATCCCTGCTCACCGCTGGCTGTCTTGGCCACCACAGCACACTGCTGACTCACGGTCAACCGCTGGTCACCTGTTGGCCACCAGGACCACCAGGTCCCAGTCTGTAGGGCTTCTTTCCAGTCATGGTCAGTCATTGGCCAACTGTTGGTCAACCATTTGCCCTTTTGGCTACCAGGGCACACTGCTGGCTCATGGTCAACCGCTGGTCACCTGTTGGCCACCAGGACCACCAGGTCCCAGTCTGCAGGGCTTCTTTCCAGTCACGGTCATTCATTGGTCAACTGTTGGTCAACCACCAGCTCTCTTGCTTATCAGGGCTCACCGTTGGCTCGTGGTCAACCAATGGCCAACTGTTGGTCAACCGCTGGCTGTCTGAGCCACCAAGACATATTGCTGACTTGTGGTCAATCCCTGCTCTACTGCTGGTCATCTGTTGGCCCTCTTGGCCACCAAGGCTCACTGATGGCTCATGGTCAATCCCTGCTCTACTGCTGCTCATCTGCTGGCTTTCTTGGCCACCAGGGCTCACCGCTGGCTCATGGTCAATCCCTGCTCTACTGCTGCTCATCTGTTGGCCCTATTGGCCACCAGGACTCACCGCTGGCTGTCTTGGCCACCACAGCACACTGCTAACCCACGGTCAACCGCTGGTCACCTGCTGGCCACCAGGACCACCAGGTCCCGATCTGTAGGGCTTCTTTCCAGTCACGGTCAGTCATTGGTCAACCACCAGCTCTCTTGCTTATCAGGGCTCACCGTTGGCTCGTGGTCAACCAATGGCCAACTGTTGGTCAACCACCAGCTCTCTTGCTTATCAGGGCTCACCGTTGGCTCGTGGTCAACCAATGGCCACCTGGTGGTCAACCACTGGCTGTCTGAGCCACCAGGACATACTGCTGACTCGTGGTCAACCATAGGTCAACCATTGGCTCTCTTGGCCACCGCTGGCTCATGGTCAATCCCTGCTCTACTGCTGCTCATCTGTTGGCCCTATTGGCCACCGGGGCTCACCGCTGGCTCATGGTCAATCCCTGCTCTACTGCTGGTCATCTGTTGGCCCTCTTGGCCACCAGGGCTCACCGCTGGCTGTCTTGGCCACCACAGCACACTGCTAACCCACAGTCAACCGCTGGTCACCTGCTGGCCACCAGGACCACCAGGTCCCAGTCTGTAGGGCTTCTTTCCAGTCACGGTCATTCATTGGTCAACTGTTGGTCAACCACCAGCTCTCTTGCTTACCAGGGCTCACCGTTGGCCCGTGGTCAACCAATGGCCAACCGTTGGTCAACCACTGGCTGTCTGAGCAACCAGGACATACTGCTGACTCGTGGTCAACCACAGGTCAACCATTGGCTCTCTTGGCCACCGCTGGCTGATGGTCAATCCCTGCTCTACTGCTGCTCATCTGCTGGCCCTATTGGCCACCAGGGCTCACCGCTGGCTCATGGTCAATCCCTGCTCTACTGCTGGTCATCTGTTGGCTCTCTTGGCCACCAGGGCTCACTGCTGGCTCATGGTCAATCCCTGCTCTACTGCTGGTCATCTGTTGGCCCTCTTGGCCACCAGGGCTCACCGCTGGCTCATGGTCAATCCCTGCTCTACTGCTGGTCATCTGTTGGCCCTCTTGGCCACCAGGGCTCACTGCTGGCTCATGGTCAATCCCTGCTCTACTGCTGGTCATCTGCTGGCCCTATTGGCCACCAGGGCTCACCGCTGGCTCATGGTCAATCCCTGCTCTACTGCTGCTCATCTGCTGGCCCTATAGGCCACCAGGGCTCACCACTGGCTCATGGTCAATCCCTGCTCTACTGCTGCTCATCTGTTGGCCCTATTGGCCACCAGGGCTCACTGCTGGCTGTCTTGGCCACCACAGCCCACTGCTGCCTCACGGTCAACCCCTGGTCACCTGCTGGCCACCAGGACCACCAGGTCCTTCACTGCAGAGCTCCTTTCCAGCAGCTCAGCCCCAACCTGCACAGGTCTGTGCAGTTGTTTGTCCCCCCAGCCACCCCCCAAACCCCAATGCAGGACCCTCCACTCACCCCGTGTTGAACCCCCTCAGCTTCCCTCCCCCCAGCCCGGCTCTCACTCATTAACAGCGAGTGGAGACGCAGCTCTGAGAGGTGCCTCGTTATTTTGGAGCAGCGCTTTACTCATTAGGGCCGCCGTCATAATAAGGCTAATTAATTTCAGAACAAGCTGTCTCCAAACGCTCTGCACGGAGCGCGTCGCCGTGCTGCAAGGTGACATGGGATGGGGCATGGGAGCCCCCACCAACCCCAAAGACCCCCCCCCCCGTGGACCCCATGCAACCACCATGGACACTACAAGGACCCCTCAGAAACCCCACAAGACCCTCTTAGAACCCCTTCAGGCTCCTGCCCAAGAACCCCATGAGACCCCCTCAAGGATGCCAGAAAATCCCCCCACAAGACCCTTGAGGAGTTCCTGAAACCCCCCTAAGGACCCCATAGACCCCAATATGGGCCCCATAAGATCCCTCCATTAATCCCAAGAGACCCCCACAGACCCCACGAGGCCCTCGTGAATCCCATGAGACCCTCATGAACCCAAAGAGACCTCATGAGACCCCTCAGGATCCTGTGAGAGCCCCATCTGAACCTCCACAAACCCTACATGACCCTCATGGACCCCTCCTCTCAGACCCTCCTCCCCCCAAAGACCCCATGAGATCCCCCAAGACCCCTCTAAAGACACAAAACCCTTCCCCTAAAGACGCCATGAGACCCCCATGGACCTCACAGGAGCTCTGTAGATCCTACAAAACCCCTCCATGAAATCTTCTCATGGACCCCCCAAGGACCCCAGGGACCCCACAAGACCCCCAGGGACCCCACTCAAATTCCCTCAAGGACCCCATGAGACCCCCCCCCCCTCCCCAGACCCTTCTATAGACCTCACAAGGTCCTCAAGACCATTCTGAACCCCCCCCCCCCCAAGAGACCCCTATGGATCTCACAGGACCTCCGTAGACCCCCGCAAGACCCCTTCGCAGACCCCATGAAATCCCCTCATGGACCCTACAGGACTCCCATGGATCCTACTTAGATTCCCCTAAGGATCCCATGAGCCCCCCCAGACCCCTCTATAGACCCCTCCAAGCCTTCCTGAACCCTCCCTCCCCCTCCCCCCCCCCCCCCCATGAGACCCCCTATGGATCACAGGACCTACAAGACCCCGACTGCCACACGGGACCCTACAAGACCCCACAGCTGCCCCCTCACCCCCTACCAGGGACCTTTCAGTGGTGGCAGAACCACAGGGATGGGCTCCAAGCTGGGGGGCAGTGGGGGGGGGGGGGGGGGCAAAATATCCCAGTTTGGGTTAAATTCTGAATTCCAACCCAAAGGGACGGATGTCTGCCCCCATCCTCGCGGTCACATGGCCAGCGTGACCCAGCACTGCCAGTAATAATTAATAATAATAATAATAATAATGTATTAATTTCCAAGGCAGTCTGGGATTAATGAGGGTAAGGAGCAGCGCTGGGAAGGGCTGAGTCCGACCCAGAGTGAATTTCTGGGGCACGGAGCTGCGCGTGAGGAGAGCGGCCGCAAGCCCACAGCACGGAGCTCTGACCTCAATTTGGGGAGAGGGGAGCGGGGGGGCTTAAAGGGGGCACGGGCAGAGGGGGGGGAGAGGTATCTTATGGGGCAGAGGGATGGGGCAAGGGGGAATGGTTGATCTGCAAGGACCTTCCATCCCAACCATCCCACGGCTCTGTGATCTGTAAGGACCTTCCATCCCAACCATCCCATGGCTCTGTGATCTGTAAGGACCCTTCCATCCCAACCATCCCATGGCTCTGTGATCTGTAAGGACCTTTCCAACCCAACCATCCCACGGCTCTGTGATCTGTAAGGACCCTTCCATCCCAACCATCCCACTGCTCTGTGATCTGTAAGGACCCTTCCATCCCAACCATCCCATGGCTCTGTGATCTGTAAGGACCCTTCCATCCCAACCATCCCATGGCTCTGTGATCTGTAAGGACCCTTCCATCCCAACCATCCCATGGCTCTGTGATCTTTCAGGACCCTTCCATCCCAACCATCCCACGGCTCTGTGATCTGCAAGGACCTTTCATCCCAACCATCCCACGGCTCTGTGATCTGTAAGGACCTTCCATCCCAACCATCCCATGGCTCTGTGATCTGTAAGGACCTTCCATCCCAACCATCCCACGGCTCTGTGATCTGTAAGGACCTTCCATCCCAACCATCCCATGGCTCTGTGATCTGTAAGGACCTTCCATTCCAACCATCCCATGGCTCTGTGATCTGTAAGGACCTTCCATCCGAACCATCCCACGGCTCTGTGATCTGCAAGGACCCTTCCATCCCAACCATCCCATGGCTCTGTGATCTGTAAGGACCCTTCCATCCCAACCATCCCATGGCTCTGTGATCTTTCAGGACCCTTCCATCCCAACCATCCCACGGCTCTGTGATCTGCAAGGACCTTTCATCCCAACCATCCCACGGCTCTGTGATCTGTAAGGACCTTCCATCCCAACCATCCCATGGCTCTGTGATCTGTAAGGACCCTTCCATCCCAACCATCCCATGGCTCTGTGATCTGTAAGGACCCTTCCATCCCAACCATCCCATGGCTCTGTGATCTGTAAGGACCCTTCCATCCCAACCATCCCATGGCTCTGTGATCTGTAAGGACCTTTCCAACCCAACCATCCCACGGCTCTGTGATCTGTAAGGACCCTTCCATCCCAACCATCCCACTGCTCTGTGATCTGTAAGGACCTTCCATCCCAACCATCCCATGGCTCTGTGATCTGTAAGGACCTTCCATCCCAACCATCCCATGGCTCTGTGATCTGTAAGGACCCTTCCATCCCAACCATCCCATGGCTCTGTGATCTGTAAGGACCTTCCATCCCAACCATCCCATGGCTCTGTGATCTGTAAGGACCCTTCCATCCCAACCATCCCATGGCTCTGTGATCTGTAAGGACCCTTCCATCCCAACCATCCCATGGCTCTGTGATCTGTAAGGACCCTTCCATCCCAACCATCCCACGGCTCTGTGATCTGCAAGGACCTTTCATCCCAACCGTCCCATGGCTCTGTGATCTGTAAGGACCCTTCCATCCCAACCGTCCCACGGCTCTATGATCTGTAAGGACCCTTCCAAGTATCTCATGGTTTTGTGATCTTTAAGGACCTGTTCACCCCAACGCATCCTATCATTCCACGTCTTTACAACCTTCAAGGACCCTCCCAACCCATTCTACGCTCCCATGACCTTTCAAGACCTTCCCAACCCAATCATTCCATGATTCTGTGATCTTTCAGGACCTCCCCAACCCACTCCATCTGATTTTATCTATGCTATTCCAGACCCCTCCCCCCCATACTCCATTCTCTCTATGAACCTTCCAGGATCCACCCTCCTATTTTGCCTATGACCCAACCAGAACTGCTCCTCCTATTCCCTCCATGACCCTTTCAGGATCCCCCCTTCCATTTTCTCTGTGCCCTTCCAGGACCCCTCCCCTCCATTCTTCCTATGACCCTTCCAGGATCCCCTCCCATTCTCTGTATGGCACTTCCAGGACCACCCCTCTCCCATCCTCTCTCTGCCCTTCCAGGACCCTCCCTCTCATTCCCTCTGTGCCTTTCTGGGACATCCCCCCCAGTGCCCCATTCCCTCTGCGCCCTTCCAGGACCTCCATCCCATTCTCTCTATCCCCACACCCCATTTTCTCTGTGCTCTTCCAGGACCCCCTCCCCCTTTCACCCTGTACCCCCCTCTCCCACTCCATTCTATCACCCTTCCAGGACCCTCCTATTCCCTTTGTGCCCTTCCACAAAACCCTCACTCCATTCCCTCTGTGCCCTTCCAGGACCCCCCCCTTCCATTCCCTCTATACCCTCCCAGGACCCCTTCACCTCCCCTCCCACCCCATTCTATCACCCTTCCAGGACCGCTCCAATCCCCTCCTATTCCATTCTATCACCCTTCCAGGACCCTCCCCTTCCCTCTGTGCCCTTCCACACCTCTCCCCTCCATCCGCCCCCCCAAAACTGCATTCCCTCTGTGCCCATCCAAGACCCCTCCCCCCCTCCATTCCCTCTATACCCTTCCAGGACCCCTCCATCCCCCCTCCCATTCCATCCTCTCTACGATCCTTCCAGGACCCTCCTATTCCCTCTGTGCCCTTCCACACCTCTCCCCTTCCCCCCCCCAAAACTGCATTCCCTCTGTGCCCATCCAATACCCCCCCCCTCTCCATTCCCTCTATACCCTTCCAGGATCTCCCCTCCCACTCCATTCTATCACCCTTCCAGGACCGCTCCAATCCCCTCCCACTCCATTCTATCACCCTTCCAGGACCCTCCCCTTCCCTCTGTGCCCTTCCACACCTCTCCCCTTCCCCCCCCCAAAACTGCATCCCCTCTGTGCCCATCCAAGACCCCTCCCCTCTCCATTCCCTCTATACCCTTCCAGGACCCCTCCATCCCCCCTCCCATTCCATCCTCTCTACGATCCTTCCAGGACCCTCCTATTCCCTCTGTGCCCTTTCACAACCCTCTTCACCCCCAAACTGCATCCCCTCTGTGCCCATCCAAGACCCCCCCTCTCCATTCCCTCTATACTCTTCCAGGACCCCCCTCCCACTCCATTCTATCACCCTTCCAGGACCCTCCCCTTCCCTCTGTGCCCTTCCACACCTCTCCCCTTCCCCCCCCCCCCAAAACTGCATTCCCTCTGTGCCCATCCAAGACCCCTCCCCCCCTCCATTCCCTCTATACCCTTCCAGGACCCCTCCATCCCCCCTCCCATTCCATCCTCTCTACGATCCTTCCAGGACCCTCCTATTCCCTCTGTGCCCTTTCACAACCCTCTTCACCCCCAAACTGCATCCCCTCTGTGCCCATCCAAGACCCCCCCCTTCTCCATTCCCTCTATACCCTTCCAGGACCCACCCCCTCCCACTCCATTCTATCACCCTTCCAGGACCCTCCCCTTCCCTCTGTGCCCTTCCACACCTCTCCCCTCCATCCGCCCCCCCAAAACTGCATTCCCTCTGTGCCCATCCAAGACCCCTCCCCCCCTCCATTCCCTCTATACCCTTCCAGGACCCCTCCATCCCCCCTCCCATTCCATCCTCTCTACGATCCTTCCAGGACCCTCCTATTCCCTCTGTGCCCTTCCACACCCCTCCCCTTCCCCCCCCCAAAACTGCATTCCCTCTGTGCCCATCCAAGACCCCTCCCCCCCTCCATTCCCTCTATACCCTTCCAGGACCCCTCCATCCCCCCTCCCATTCCATCCTCTCTACGATCCTTCCAGGACCCTCCTATTCCCTCTGTGCCCTTTCACAACCCTCTTCACCCCCAAACTGCATCCCCTCTGTGCCCATCCAAGACCCCCCCTCTCCATTCCCTCTATACCCTTCCAGGACCTCCCCTCCCACTCCATTCTATCACCCTTCCAGGACCCTCCCCTTCCCTCCGTGCCCTTCCACACCCCTCCCCTTCCCCCCCCCAAAACTGCATCCCCTCTGTGCCCATCCAATACCCCCCCTCTCCATTCCCTCTATACCCTTCCAGGACCCACCCCCTCCCACTCCATTCTATCACCCTTCCAGGACCCCTCCATCCCCCCTCCCATTCCATCCTCCCTACGATCCTTCCAGGACCCTCCTATTCCCTCTGTGCCCTTTCACAACCCTCTTCACCCCCAAACTGCATCCCCTCTGTGCCCATCCAAGACCCCCCCCTCTCCATTCCCTCTATACCCTTCCAGGACCCACCCCCTCCCACTCCATTCTATCACCCTTCCAGGACCCTCCGCACTCACGCCGGGTCCGTGCCTCCATGATGCTGCGCGTCCGCAGCCCCCCGAGCCCGGGCGCGGCCCAACGCTGCGCCCCCGCGGTCCCTATGGTTCCTGGGTTCCCCCTCACGGCACCGGGGGTCGCGGGGCTGCGGTGACCGCCGCCATCGGCGCTGGGGGGGGGGCGCGGGGTGGGGGAGGGGTTCCCGGTACGCGGGGTTCCTCTCCGCTCCCGGCGCCGCTTCCGGGTCTTGGCCCCGCCCCTTCCTGAGGCCCCGCCCCTCGCGCGTGAAGGCGACCGAATCGCGCGTGCGCACGGCTGGGGACGGGCCCCATCCCCCCGAGTTGTCACGTGGTGCGGAAGGGGAGAGTAGTCACGTGAGGAGTGCGGTCACGTGGTGGGGGCGCGCCTGACCCTGAGGCATTACAGGGTTATGGGCGGGGGGGGGAGGAGTTATGGGGCACCCCACAACTATTGAGGGGTCTATAGGGCAGCACAGGGCTATGGGGAGAGCTATAGGGCACCCCACAACTATTGAGGGGTCTATAGGGCAGCACAGGGCTATGGGGAGAGCTATAGGGCACCGCACAACTATTGAGGGGTCTATAGGGCAGCACTATGGGGAGAGCTATAGGGCACCCCACAACTATTGAGGGGTCTATAGGGCAGCACAGGGCTATGGGGAGAGCTATAGGGCACCCCACAACTATTGAGGGGTCTATAGGGCAGCGCAGGGCTATGGGGGGAGCTATAGGGCACCCCACAACTATTGAGAAGGTTCTATGGGGCAGTGCAGGGCTATGGGGAGAACTCTGGTTGTGCTATGGTTGGACTATGGGATGCCCCATAGATCTATGGGGCACTGACACAGGTCATGGGATCTATGGGGCACTGTAGGGGCACCCCAGAGGTTTCGAGGGGAGCTGTGGGGCGCTGGAGGGCAGCCCAGGGCTCTTTGGGGGCACTATGGGGTGGACTACAGGGCGCTATAGGGCAGTGGGGGGCCTCTACACACTCACCCACCCCCAGCTTCCCACATCTATGGGGCTGATGTGGGTCAGAGGGGTCTATAGGACGCCCCAAGGCTATAGGGAAAGCTATAGGGCACCCCACAACTATTGAGGGGTCTATAGGGCAGCACAGGGCTATGGGGGGAGCTATAGGGCACCCCACAACTATTGAGAAGGGTCTATGGGGCAGCGCAGGGCTATGGGGAGCTCTGGTTGTGCTATGGTTGGACTATGGGATGCCCCATAGATCTATGGGGCACTGACACAGATCATGGGATCTATGGGGCACTGTAGGGGCACCCCAGAGGTTTCGAGGGGAGCTGTGGGGCGCTGGAGGGCAGCCCAGGGCTCTTAGGGGGCGCTATGGGGTGGACTACAGGGCGCTATAGGGCAGTGGGGGGCCTCTACACACTCAGCCACCCCCAGCTTCCCACATCTATGGGGCTGATGTGGGTCAGAGGGGTCTATAGGACGCCCCAAGGCTATAGGGAAAGCTATAGGGCACCCCACAACTTTTGAGGGGTCTATAGGACACCCCATGGCTATGGGGAGAGCTATAGGGCACCCCACAACTATTGAGGGGTCTATAGGGCAGCACAGGGCTATGGGGAGAGCTATAGGGCACCCCACAACTATTGAGGGGTCTATAGGGCAGCACAGGGCTATGGGGGGAGCTATAGGGCACCCCACAACTATTGAGGGGTCTATAGGGCAGTGCAGGGCTATGGGGAGAGCTATAGGGCACCCCACAACTATTGAGGGGTCTATAGGGCAGCACAGGGCTATGGGGGGAGCTATAGGGCACCCCACAACTATTGAGGGGTCTATAGGGCAGCACAGGGCTATGGGGAGAGCTATAGGGCACCCCACAACTATTGAGAAGGGTCTATGGGGCAGTGCAGGGCTATGGGGAGCTCTGGTTGTGCTATGGTTGGACTATGGGATGCCCCATAGATTTATGGGGCACTGACACAGATCATGGGATCTATGGGGCACTGTAGGGGCACCCCAGAGGTTTCGAGGGGAGCTGTGGGGCGCTGGAGGGCAGCCCAGGGCTCTTTGGGGGCGCTATGGGGTGGACTACAGGGCGCTATAGGGCAGTGGGGGGCCTCTACACACTCAGCCACCCCCAGCTTCCCACATCTATGGGGCTGATGTGGGGCAGAGGACCCCCAGGGCAGGGAGCAGAGCTCAGTTTGGGGCTCCAAAAAACCTTTTGTGTTTCTCTCTCGTATTCCAATCTCTATTTCTGTTTCTTGACTTCCCCGAATGACGCGGAGCCGCCCCACGTGGGCGCCCCCCAAGTAGGGGGGGGATCCCCACCTGCGGGACCCCGACGTCCCCCAGGCCAGGGCACCGCGGGCCCCACATCGACCCACGGCGTTTTGTCCCGCGGGGCGGCGCTGCCGTCACCTCCAAAAAGAGAAAGGTTCAGTTAAAGCCAATGCTTCTGTGATCTTCCAGGACCTTTCCAACCCAACTCATCCCGTGGTTCTATGATCTGTGAGGACTTTTCCAACCCAATCATTCCATGGCTCTGTGATCTTCAAGGACCTTTCCAACCCAACCCCTTTCATGGTTCTATGATCTTTAAGGACGCTTCCAACCTCTTCCATGGCTCTGTGATCTTTAAGGACCCTTCCAACCCAACCATTCCATAGCTTTATGATCTTTAAGGACCTTTCCAACCCAACCATTCCATGCCTCTGTCATCTTCAAGGACCTTTCCAACCCAACCCCTTTCATGCTTCTATGATCTTTAAGGACCCTTCCAACCCCTTCCATGGCTCTGTGATCTTCAAGGACCTTTCCAACCCAACCCCTTTCATGGCCCGGTCATCTTCAAGGACCTTTCCAACCCAACTCCTTCCATGGCTCTGTGATCTTCAAGGACCTTTCCAACCCAGCCACCCCACAGCTCTACGACCTTCAAGGACCCTTCCAACTCAACCCAACCACCCCACAGCTCTACGACCTTCAAGGACCCTTCCAACTCAACCCAACCACCCCACAGCTCTACGACCTTCAAGGACCCTTCCAACCCAACCCAACCACCCCACAGCTCTATGACCTTCAAGGACCCTTCCAACCCAACCCAGCCACCCCACAGCTCTACGACCTTCAAGGACCCTTCCAACTCAACCCAACCACCCCACAGCTCTACGACCTTCAAGGACCCTTCCAACCCAACCCAACCACCCCACAGCTCTACGACCTTCAAGGACCCTTCCAACCCAACCACCCCACAGCTCTACGACCTTCAAGGACCCTTCCAACCCAACCCAACCACCCCACAGCTCTACGACCTTCAAGGACCCTTCCAACCCAACCCAACCACCCCACAGCTCTACGGCCTTCAAGGACCCTTCCAACTCAACCAC